GAGCGTCCACAGGGTGGATAGGGTCCCCTCACCCACCCCCTCCACTGCCACCAGTGATCTAATAGCCCCACAGGGAACAGCTTAGCTCATCCACTTCATGTTTCCCATTTGCTGGTTACAACACTGATGGGGATGTTTAAGGATGGGAAGCCTTAATGCCACTATTTGTTTTCCTGTAGGTAATCGATGGCAGACTCAGGGTTACAGCTAATGTGATTTATGTGTTCTATTTCCACTGTTATGCTTCATGTACAAAGTGTCTTTGGTGATGGAAAATCCCCAATCTTTCCACAACTTGCTGAAAGTGAATCTCGGCTGCCAAACCCAAGCAATTAATCCATGTTTGTGTCCTGGATCCCCCTGATTTTTGACTAACAACAAATTATGACACTGGAACTTGATACTTTGACAAAGGCACATTTACGTTTCATCTACATTTCTTGTCAAAACATGGTAACAACAAGTCTCATGGTAATTTTAATTGTAAGCCTTTTCTATTTGGATTTCATATGGCACACAGAGAAATTAATCATGCTTCACTCTTGACTCCTAAGTAAATCATCTACAGTCTAAACACAAAGGAAATCAAATCAGCCTATTCATTCAGTGATGCATACCCTTATAATTATATCAGTCCTGGCAACACTTAGGTGCACATTCATATCTCATCTCAGCCTCACACTGGCAGAACACTGATGCAATAAACATGGATTATGTTAGAAAAGTTAGTAGTGGATTTGACAATCGCACAAGAAAACCAGTTTTTGTGTCATCAAACGGCACTGCAAAATAAAAGCCTTGTAGGCAGTTTCTTTCTTTCAAAAAAAAAAAGAGACTGTCTGTTGACACTAAAGAAGAAAATAGCAAAAACATATGGTCAGAGAGGTGCTATAAACAGACTACTGATTGAGTCTGCAAGTGCAATCAGCCAAAGGGAGAAACCACACTTGAAAGCCTAGTTTTCTTAGTATAATGGTAAAGTGTATTTTGTTTCAACTCCCGCTGCAATGTTTCAACATATTTTAAACATCATTTAAGCTCAGTTCAAGGTGCAGCTTGCAGTGGTGAATTGCTTCCATGAGATCTTTTCTGACAAGATGAGAAAAGATGTTTCTCAAACTGCTGCACTTGGTTGTCAAGGGAACATTTCTGAAAATGGAGTGCATTATGCTTGAAGAAAGCATGCTCAACTATTTGCATAAAGGAAAATATCACATTTAAAAGGCAAAGAGATCAAATTGAGCATTTTATTTTTCAAAAAGAACCACTTTCACAACAATTTTAAAAGCCATCATGAGAAAGCCACAGAGTGGACTCCTTACTGCCAGCCCTCTCTTTTATCTTTTATGGTATAGAAAACGTGGTTGGTGTTTTATCATCTGCTATCTGTTGTGTGTTAGCCTGTCTGGAGCTGAACTGTTATGATACATTGTTCCTCTTCATGAGCCAAGGACAGGCCTCTGTAGGAGGCTGAGCAGAGCCTGATGGAGAAAGGAAAGATGAAAGAAGGGTGTACTTGGATGTACTTTTGTTAGCTGAAATCTCATAAATCATTATGTGGTGCCTCGTGTTGGCTTACCTGTATAATTACATTAATCAAAACTGAGAACTTTGACATCAACGTACTTTACAAAACCATGACTCTGTGAATAAATCAGCTTCATCTAAACGATCTATACCTGTAAGAGTATAATGTGATTTCCTCTGTACTCATGAATTAGAAACAGAGTGAAAGATGATAAAAGAGGAAATGCTGAGTATATATAAATGAAGATATTCAGCATATGTGATTCAAAGTCCAAACCCAGGTTAAAAGCCCTTTTAAATAGGGAGGTGAGACCCCACTGTATAACACAAAAGGCATCTAAATGAAGACATAAATTGTATCTTAATGGATGCGATGTGGGAAGAATAACAAAGTGGATGACCGAGGTGCTGCATCAGTCTCTGATTTCAGGGGGAGCAAAACAATTAAGATTACAGGGATGTTTCCTTGTGGAACAGACAAGCCATCCACTCATTTACATTAACAATTGAAGCATCTAGCTGACACCATTACCCAGAGTGACTTTGAGCAGGTAGCAGCTCAGTGTCTGGCTCAAGGACACGTGCCTGTTAATCAGCACACTGCCTGTCTCGAGGATCAGACCTGTGACCTTTTCCTTACATGATGATGTTTCTAACCACCAGGCCACCTTCTCTAACAATCTGTGAAATGTGTTGCAGTAGCATTTCAGCATCATTTGGCAGCATCTGCCACATGTTTTTTTACCAACTGTCAAAATTTTGTCGAGGGAACTTTATAATTTTCAAAGGAGGATAAAATCCATCACCGCACTCGTCATGGCTCAATTATGGTTAAAAAATCCTGAGGAAATATAGTCAATAAGAACGGAGCTTGGTGAAAGGCACTTGACTTCATTTCTCAGACACAAAGCGTCCAAATGCTCCCATGACAAAGGCGTGACAGAAGTCATAAGCAGCCGTGATGGCAGCTGTCAGCTGATCCACAGCTGGCACTGTGCAGTCAGTCTGTAACCACATCCATTCATGACTGTAAAAATCTGCACGACTGATTGGAATTCTGTTTAGTTGTCATTACACAGTTGGATGAAAAGTGCAGCCACACTGCATAGAAAACCAAAACTTTTGACTCTTCAATAACTGCAGTTCATGAAGTGAGCAGTAAACGGCTTCATATTATGGTAATAAAAGCATGGTCCCTCTGAGGAAGGGTTATTGCTAATTGGCCCAGCTGGATAAACAGAACTAGTAGTGTTAGCATACTGCATGAGAAAGGAAACTGTTTCCTACCTATTTCAGTTTTTGCATAGAGTAAACATCATCTTCCAGCCCAGGTATTATTACATCTTAGTGGATGTTCCCTTGACATTTAGTTCCACCCACACATGTTCTCTTTTTTCCTCCTCTCATCATGTCACTCCTCATCTTGTGTTTTTACTCTTTCTCGTTCACTTTTCCCACATCTGTACTACGTACCTTATCTCCCCTTACCCCTCATCTCTTTTGGTTTCTGGCCCCATCTCAGTCTCCTGATTCACTGCTCTGTCAGTAGATCAATAGAAAGGCTCTGTGTCAGGAGGAGCCACTGAATGCCTCACCCTTCTCCCGCCCTCCCTTTTCCCCCTATGTCTTCCCAGACTGCAGACACACAGCCTGCTGGGGAGCTGGCTTTTTACATCCCATACTGGAGAGCATCTCCTCTCCTCTGTACCCCCCATCTCTTTCTGGATCACTTTTCATCCTTGCATCTTGAACTTGCTGGAGAGAAGAAAATGCATGGCACCTTAAAGGCTTCTCAAAGAAGAGGAAAAGCAGGGCTTTTGCTGGGAGTCAAAGAAAGACATCTCAAGAAAATGGGATATCAGCACAAGACACAATGTATAAAGAAGAGACGGATGTGAGAAAAAAAGAGGGTGAGGGAGAGAAGTTGTGCATTCAGCTAAGCTGCAAAAGGTTGGCTTGTCTTCCCTTCCCCACACCCTGCCTTTCTCCACCCCCTGGAAAAGTGTTCTGTCTCTCTCTCTCTCTACCTCTTTGCTCTCTCCCTCTCTCTGCAGCTGTGGTCGGCTGAGCGTCACTTCCATACAGCAAGTGCCTTTACTTGAACAGAAGAGGAAGAAGGAAGAGGAGGGTAGCTGTGAGCGAGAGTGAAATAAAAGATCCCAGGAGTGTGTCAGAACGTACCAGAGGAGCAGCTCTCTGACTTCGCTTAGAGGGCTGAGAAGTGCACAGAGACAGACGGGCAGAGGCAGGAGAGGCAGGAGAGGCATCACGGCGCTGGTGGTGCTGGCAGAGCATGCTGAGTGGAGACAGGGGAATCCACTGGCGCTGCTGATCCCAGTGTGCCTGGGAAAAGCTGCTTACGCGGGAGACAGAGAACGACACTGCAGCTAGGATCTCGTCAGGAGGGCAGCATTTTACAGTGACAACGAAGCGTAGAGACAGCTGAAAACTGCACACACACAGAGACACACTGAAAAGCAAACATGCTCATAAACACACATGCACACAGCTGAGAGGGGAAAGCGAGTCAGACACATGCTGCCTTGAAAAGATTCACTACTACCTTCTTTTGCTCTTGAAACTTACAAACTGAAGAACAGATGCAAAATGTTTCATGTTTTTGTTCATGGATGGCGGATGATGGAGAGGAAAACTTCTGGAGAGGACATTTTCTTTTGAACACAACCTAACGTAGAGATTTTTTCCATTTACCACTTCTACTTATTCAGAGACGAGGGTTAAAACCTCAAAGTACAACACAAAATAACCTCTATTCTGTTGCAGAAATTGTGACCATTAAGATGCCGCCTCCTCATTCAGTTAGAGCCGTAAGTGGATTATGATGGCAATATTTTGGGATTTCTTTTTTGCTTAAAAAAAGAAAAGAAATCAGTCCATGACTGGTGGATTTACATCTGTCAGAGAAAGAGACAATTTTGTGTTTTTTTTTGTCTCCTCTTCTTGTGTGGATTACAGATGGGCTTTGTGATCTCCCAGTGCAGTCTCATGGATGATCGCTCCCTGCCAGTCATAAGGATAAAGTACAAAGAGGGACACAAGTGAGTTTTCAGCTTGATTTTTATCTCTGAGGCTTAAGCTTGTTTGAAAATAAGGGTCTGAATCTGTAATGAGAGCACACTGCAGCAGCTTGTTTCACAAACTGTAACTCTGTTTAATGAGTGATTATCAAGGAGATTTATCTATTTATTTATACAAACCATTTGCCAGTGAACATAATTTGGTAAATGAAGGGTACTGTCTACCCGGCAGGTGGCTGGGCACAAGTGGAGATTGATTGAAGTGATCTGTGTGAATCCTATTAATGCATCCTGGATTCTGGCCAAGGCAGAAGCAATGGAGGGGAACACCGCTGTCTAGCAGCACTATCTGATCTGCCTCCTCACTGGATAAACTGAGGACGCTCTTTGACAACACTCCTCCTCCTTTTCCTCCTCTTCCTCCTCTTTCCTGGGTTAGAATGGTACCCCCACCTCCCACAAACAAGCCCCACGTGTGCCTGTCCACCATCCTTATTATGAGCAGCATGGCATTGATTGATGCCTACCTGGTGGAGCAGAACCACGGACCACGTAAGATTGGCATCTGCATCATGGTGATGGTGGGAGACATCTGCTTCCTAATCGTCTTGCGTTATGTAGCAGTGTGGGTGGGTGCTGAGGTGCGCACAGCTAAGCGAGGCTACGCCATGATCCTCTGGTTCCTTTACATCTTTGTACTGGAGATCAAGGTCTACTTTGTGTATCAAAACTACAAGGCAGACAGGAAGAGCCTGGATGCTCTGGCAAGGAAGGCGCTCACACTGCTGCTGTCCATCTGCATTCCAGTGTTGTTTGTGGTGCTGGTTGCTATTGACCATATGGAATATGTACGCGCCTTCAAGAAGCGTGAGGAGATCCGTAACCGCCTCTTCTGGGTGGTGGTGGACTTGCTGGACATACTGGACATCCAAGCCAACCTGTGGGAGCCTCAGAAGAAGGGGCTCCCTCTGTGGGCAGAGGGTTTGATGTTCTTCTACTGTTACATCCTTCTGCTGGTGCTGCCTTGTGTATCACTGAGTGAGATCAGCATGCAGGGCATCAATATTGTGCCCCACAAGATGCTCCTGTACCCCATCCTCAGCCTGGTGACTATCAACATCATCACACTCTTCATCCGTGGGGGGAACATGATTCTGTACAGGGACGCCAGGGTATCCGGGATCCTGATAGGAAAAAACATCTTGGCCATCATCCTAAAAACTTGCAGCTTTGTGCAGTACAGGAGACAGCTGCAAAATGCTCCTCCTGCCTTTGGGGTTGAGCTGCAGAAAAACTCGGTGGCCCATGTTCGCCCTGCCCCCACCCCTCCTCAAGTGGTCATGCAAGACCAGACGCCCCTCCCCGAGGTGACGACGTGCGAACACACATGACAGAACGGTGAGGTGAATCCTGGAAATGTTGATATGAATATATACGACCCTCAGGACGCTGGCAGGGCACAATGTTCCACAACCTTGTAGGGCATGTGGACACACAGGGGATCATGATCTTCACTGATGATTTATGGCACACAGGACACTGCAGACAGGCAAGGATAGAGCAGTGCTGTATCCAGAGCTGTCATGGTGCAAAATACGGCAGAAGTTGTGACTTTGTTAAAGCATTTCCCTGAGTGAGTTCAGTTAACTGTGTATTTTTTTTCTAATTGTACAAAAGAAAAAAGGCAACTACTGCGAGATTAGAGGCTATATTTTTGAACGGTGTGTTGCATTCTAATCTTAAACTTATGAGGTCTGTGTGCTGTGGTGTTCTGTTGCTCAAACGTTCTTAGTAGAAGAGGGTTTTCACGTGAAGTCAAAAGGAGTGACCAATGAACAAGTCAAAATAATGAGAATGAAAATAATTGTTAAAGCATTGTCTTGAAAGAAGTGTGTTTTTATATGTGATTCTTTGATAAAGTATTGTGTACAAGATAAATGCTTTCCTGCTCTTTCACTGACTGTAGAGGACTTTTTCTTGAAAACATTTAAGTTACTGGACCAGTTGAATATACTTCATTTTTTAATTAAAATTCAGCAAATATCCCTTAATTAACCTGAGTTACAAAAGAAAAAAGACTGCCTAATTGTTGAAGTGACACATTTCACAGTGTCATTCATCTTACAATTGTTAATGCTGCTTATCTTGAAGAAGAAATAAATAAATTCTCTATGCAGGTATGAACAGTTTGATCAGTAAAGGGTGCAAATGGTGCTCTAGCCCTAGGATAGAATACGCAGCCAAGGGGCAAAGCTGCAGATGGATAACGGATTCCAAATAAGGAAACCAGGTTGTCAGTGGCTGCCTGCACTCGTGCTTAGCGGCAGCAGCAGAATTTTGCAAGCACAAGTCATTTTGTTCTTCACACAAAGAACAAAATGGATACTTTGGTCCAGTGATGCAGATCTAAACAACAGCCAAGTAAACATCATGTCTCATAATGACAAATCTCTTTCTGTCTCATGCAGTTTCTTCTCTCTACATCACCAACAGCTGAGTCAGAGGCTTGTATGCATTTCAGTGATAGACACATTTTAGTATTTTCCTTAAAAAGTGACTGAGAAATATATTTACTTGAAGGAGATTTTTAAAACATCTCTGGCTGTTGTTAGCAGAGCCAGAGATGCAAAACTGAACACTGAGATCAGGTGGTGTAATATGATGCGGTGGCACAAAGCAAATAATAAGACACAGGTACCTCAGGTGAAAAAGGAACTACATCTTTGCAGTTTTCTCTTGTACTCACCTGTGTAATTTCATTCACACTGGCTGTCCACATTTGCTAAAACCCTAAGCGTGCAGAAGCTCATCCAACATCTTCATCTGTGCAAGGCACAGCTACATGAAGGTGGTAATTTTTGATGGCACAGACTAGACTATCACATTAAGACTAATGTAGCCACATTTATTTGTTAGTGTTGCTGGTGTGTAAAGTTATAACATCGGTCATTTAGACTGTATAATATACCAGTGGATTGGATTGTTTTTATAGCAATAAAAAAATTACATTCATTCTTTAGCATCCTACCAAATGTGCTGAACAATGAATACAGCCAGTGTGATGAACAATAAGGAAATAGTTTTTGCTGAAATTGGCTGCAGACTCAGATATTATGCACTGACAATAACATTAATGGCTTGCATACAATAGTTTTCACATAGTAGTGTTACTGCTCTTACAAAATATGGCATTGAAGTCAGTATAAACTGAGTTAGTGCATGTCTCTGCAGCTATACAGGTTAAAACTTTCATGCACCCCGTGAGGTCATTTTTTCTTAATTTATGGTGAAACATCTGTTCAAAAAGCAGAGCTGTTTTACAGTAGGTAGTGCTTAGTTTATATTTGCTGGTATTTCTGGTAAAAACAGAACAAGTAACAAACAAACAAGCACGCTCTTCTTCACATTATTTTAATTTCAGGTTCACATGTAGTTTGACTGTGTGGTGAAAAAGAAGCATCTACATGACGAGAAACAGCTGAACCTTAGGTGCATGTTATGCAAAGTAATGCTGAGATTCAAATGTCTCCTTCCTGCT